ACTCCTGAGAGGTCACTCCATCACCACCATTCCCGACCATTGTTCAATGTCTCCTAGCGCCGTGACCTCCCCAAGTCCACTTACTTTTGGCAGTTTCGGACGAGGACATTCTCCAAAAAATCCACGCGTTTCTGTCTCCGAATATAATTCTCAGCATGCAACAGTTTGCGTATGCACTTCTTTGCACACACACTTTAGGTTGCGTTTTATTAAATCCGTTTTCTTTGCCTAGGATCGTGTTGCCGAGCCGCACGTCTTAAGAATAGGGGAGAGTGCATTTCGGATAAAACATTCTTCGGGAAGGCACACACGTGTCAACATAATTACATAAGGTTGCACCTATATAGCATTTGTCAAGAGGGAAATATTACATGGAATTATCATATTTTCTTCACGCCGCAGCTGGTACGTACATCATGTTAAATGTAAACGTGAAGATGTAGACTATGAGATATTCGTGTTGTTTTCTCATTATTTTCACTTTCGTGCCGACATGCATCTGGGATGGTAGCAATTTGCCGCTTCAATCGCCATAGCATACCTTTACTTTATAATAGTTTTGTTTACACACACACACTTAAGACAGCCTGTGTTTTGGATTTATTTTCTAATGTCCGAGTGTTTATTGGTTTGTTCGTTAGAAAATTGTAGCCAATTAATCCATTGCGATACGACCTTTTTTTTGCAATTGAAAGGTTAAACGAAATTAAGCGGCGACATTAATCATGAAACATCCATTGCTGATTAAGAAATACTGTATTTCTATTCGGGCATTGTGACAGATATAGCGTGCGTGGAGTAAGGAACAGAGGTGCCCAGAAGAAACATGGATACACCATTGTAATATAAATACAACCGTTTAAAAAGAACAAAAATACACTTCAACACAATTGGCTTTCTACAATAATGTTAACCAGCAGGATTTATTAAAGCAAAAAAAAATATATGACCGACCTGGTTTCAACCGTTTACAATCATCATTAGCAGTCAGGATAAAAAAAAAAATGACAATTTACCGTCAGTTTACAGGCATTAGTGGCAAAAAAGCACATCTCCCTTCAACAACAAAATAAACCCGACATGGCCCTCTCATTGATCGAATGAAATACTGCAGAGCATTAAAAAAGTGTGCCGATGAAAATGTTTGCAGCGCTAATGCCAATGAGGGTGGCCAGGTGTTGCCAAACTTCGTAATCAGGGTCTCGCGCGCGCGCGCACACACACACACAAAATCGTCAGCGGCCCAATTCCATCAGCGTTCATCATCCTCGGGGCAACTCAGCAGGAGAGCTGGCCAACTTAAAACCGCTTCGACTACATCCGCTGCATGCGTTATTCATATTCACAAGCGATCAAAGCTAAAAAAGTTTCCCAATTTACAAATATTCTCTAACATCGTGGTCCTTCGTGTGATAATAATAATACCGTTCAGCCTTTTGCCACTGCACTGCTGAATTAAAGATCTTCCCACACGGTGCTGCACACTTCACCATGCTGGTTAGTCAGTGCCGATTGAAGACGTCACTTGAAATTGATGTTAGTCACGGCTGAGAATCAGCACGCAAGATTTTGTAGGTTCGTAACACACTTACCTCGGATATCATTAAAAAGCGATATCCAAAACTAAAACGCTGCAAAAAGAACAAGTTAAAAACCTTCCACATTGTTAGTTGTTTTATGTGCAAGCTTTGTTTACGTTTCAATAAGTCGTTAGAAAATATATTTTTTATAACCAGACAAAAATCCAATGGAACAGAATAAAATACCTCCTTTGCAAAGGGGATTTTGGTTCTGACGAGAACCACCCCCCAGATAGCGAGTTCCAGCAAAAGCCATTAGGAAAATTGGTCGATTGCAAAATCGGATGGCTGTTGAACCAACGCCGTCACTCGCCTAGGGTGGGACATCCCACCTACGTTCAAGTTTATTTAAAATTTTATACAGATGACCCCCGTTTATACAGTTGCCTGGGTATTAAAAAAAAGGCAAGATCCATGGTGCATCACCACAACACAAAAACATACATATTTTCTGCAACAGCAACAACCACCTCAGATTTTGCACAAATTTCCGTCTCGAGAGCATGAACCCCCCCCCCCCACCATTGCCATCCTTCCAAGGTAGCTCGCACACGGTGCTTCATCGCGACCGCTTCAACTTCCGCCGTGGCTAAGCACTGTGCACGCAACCTCAAGACAGAACTGCTTGGGTTTTAGTGGCGGCCTAACCCTGCTCCCAACCTGGAGTCATAACCGTAAGCTCCCCCAACTTAGCAACGTGTGCTATCGGTGTCACATCGTGCGATGCCATATCAATTGTTGGATCCGAGAACAGTGCAACCCTTCGTCAAATTAAATAACGGCCCACGAAGTGGATATCTCAGGAGCTTGCGCGTGAGATTGCCTTCAAGCCCTCTTCGTCCACACAAATATGGGGCAGTACTTCCCCCCCACCCCACTCACCGAGAGTAAATTTTCACCACATTACCGTACCAGGCAGTCAAACTAAAAAAAAACCGCATAATTCTTAAAGCTAAAATGTCGACAAACCAAATGCAATACCAAATTATAGATTCTTTTTTGGTGTGCAGTTGTTGATAGCTAGACCCAGAACAACAACCTCAGTAATTGATAACCTTTTATTATTAACCACAGGTGACATCCAGGATTCAAACTCAAACCCAGAATCTCAGTGGTGGCAGCTCAGTAGCACTACTACCTCTGAGCCACTTAATGTTTACATAACGACAATATATATAGTGCCGTAAGATGGCAAGCAATTGTCCGCTAGCCTTCAATACTTCACGTGGCCTCAAAGTGCACATAGCCTGGCACAAGCGCCATGGTGATGTCACCGCCACTTAGGTGGCGAATTGCGGGTATTGGGCTATTGAAGGAGATGACTTTGAGTGGGTTTTTGAATGGCATCTGCGACACAGAGCCACCGTTTTGTGGTGAACACCGGCTCACAAGCCACGCGAACATCTAAAATCAACCAGAAGCTTCGCGAGCGGCTGAAAGGGGGGGGGGGGGGGAAATCACGAACCACCGATTTGTACAGACAGGCCCTCGTTGATGGGCTACAATTTAAATAATCACCGCGGATGCTTTCTCAACTTGTCAGCACATCCCCTGTAATCTGGGTTGCATGCGGGAGGGGGAACAGACTGGCGTATTGCGGCGAGCTGAACAACTACGTGCGCCGATGCCACACCGAATGGCTCGCACGCAGTGGATGCAGTTGAAACATTCGCACTTCCGTGTTATTTATGGCTCCCCGTTCCTTTTACCCCCCCCACCCCCCCGTGTAAAAAAAACCTAGCAGGGCCTTGCGACAGGCGATGGGAACCACTGTTACACGGTATTATTACACGTGACGCGTTCGACCTTTGCGTATCGATCCTGACCAACTAACCCCCGCCCGTGTGGATCTAGTGCAGAATTTGTCTACAGATGTTGACAAAAGTTGACCTTTTTTAATCTCGCCCTTGAAATTCACCCCCCTTCAAAAGCACAGCATAACATCCCGCCCCCCCCCCCCCCCGCATGTAAAGCAGCTTGCGATTTACTTTAACCAACAACCTATTTGTGCGTTTTATTACAGAAGTCCTACAAACGTTCAATCGTCTGACTTTTTTTTCTTTACAAGTCTCCGGCGAGTTCGATATGCGAAGTTGGTAACTCGGCACGATTAAAATCACACAAGCGATTCAGTTTGGCTAAGCCATTCGCCAAGCCGTTGCGCGTTCTCGTCCACAAAGAGCTTGGACTGCATGCGAGCTGCCCTCATTTGCCATTTGTTCAGCATCACCGGGAATAAGGAGTTGCAAGGCGAGATTTCCCCCCCCCCCCACACAACCTCGCCATCACAGCCAGCGTGCATCGGGAATATTAAAAAAAACACAAACTTACCGACTCAATAATCTCTCGTGACCCACAGCGTATGAGCCGAAATTGCCCAAAGGGGATAAACAATTTTATTTACGTACTTTGTCAATCCACTGCTGGATCAAGGCATCGCCAATGTCATAAAACAAAGATCCTACCATAGAGCCTTTTATAAACGGTTGGCACAAGTGCTGTTAGCGAGCAACTACGATGGCCAGTACGGCACACAGAGCTGGTGGGGCGTTATTACACCACGTCTGGCCACCTTCGTCTCCCCAGTGCTGATGCTTACACACCACAGTACGTTACTCGTTTAAGGCCAGGTCCACCTAGAGGAAGCCAAAGACTGGGTCAAATATTTCACCACTTGTTATTGGTCATGAGCTGGGAATCCAACTCGGGCCGTCGGATTTATAGCACGGTGTGCCAACCACTACGCCAAGGCATCCGCCCCACATCAAGTGGGCCATGCGGGTTCGTTTGACCACACCTCACCACGCTGGTCATGTTAGCTGTGGTTGGGAGTCGAACTCATGTCCATCAGGTGCACAGTACAGTGCACGAACCAACCGAGTCACCGCTCCCACCACCCAACAGGAGACAGACCTGATGTTTACACTTCTTGGGTACGTACTCGTACGTACCCAAGAAGAGGAGACAAACCGTTTAAAAACCGAAATTGGTGGAAAATGTCCTGCTAGTAATTAGGCATATAATCAGTCGTAGAGCACAGTAAAATTAAGTGATGACATTTGTCATTAGATCGCTGTTAAGCGGGTCCGGGCTATTATAATGACAACTATAGCAAATACTAATTTTAAAGACTACCCATTTCCTGTTTATTATTACAGGAGTTCAAATGGCACATTCAGAAAAAAAACACCACCGTCTCCGCCCCCCCCCCGCCCCTCCAAATTACTTTCACTACATGGCCACGAAACAATTCTAGAAACATTATTATAACAACACACTTGATGATCGATGCAATGATGCTGCAAATCGGTGTTACCATATTTGACCGTGGCATGGGTTATGTGAGAGAGAGGCGGGTGTATTTATTAAGCGAGCAGTGCACCCCCCCCCCCCACCGCGCACCCCCCCCCCGCCCCTTACCGCACTTGGTCTTGATTTTTTCCGCAAACTCGTCATCTTCCCCCGTCGAAGGAGCTTCCGAAGCAGGTGGATACATCACGGCTCGTAGCAGCAGCAGCAGCAGCAAGACCCAAGATGAACCATATAGCCTAGGAGCAGGGATCTCCTTCTCCCCGCCACCCCCCCCACCCCCCCACCGTCAGAAGCGCTTTTGCGCGTGCAAAAGGTCTAGCCGAGTGAAATGTTTCCCCAGAAAAAAATAAAATAATAATGATGTAGTTTATACGATGTGTATTTACAACAACAAAAATCTGCCGATAAGGAGCACATAAACAGGCTCAAGTCCCATCTTTCAATCTTGTGTCAGCATTCCTCTGGTTTCCTGAAACACAAGCGGCAAAGATTTATGTTTGCGCGTGTGTGTGCGCGTGCACGCGTTTAAAAATAGTGGGGGGGGGGGGGGGGGAGTGGGGGGGGGGTAGCAATGCGGTTTGCCCACTGCGCTACAAACGCGACAGCCCCAAGTTCGATTCCCGGGGCCACTGTTAACATCAGCTGGTGATTATCAGAGGCAGACCAGGGCTTCACGGTGGAAACAACATTTGGAGTGAGGGGACAAACGCGGCCAAGGGTGGAGGTGCTGACGGCCAACACCTTCCACCCGTGCTTGGCCTTCTCTCGTGCTCGCTAAGAGCACTTGCCCCAATAAGCCCGTGGGAAGCTATACGGAGGTCTTCCACTTTGTACAAAAAAAAAACCACACACACACGCTATCCTCCAAAAGGTCGGGTGAACGTATCCCGGCCAGATCTCGGTCCAATTTACGAACTCTTGTAAACAAACCCGTTTGGCAATTACGTGCGAGACGGCCCCGTTAAAACAAACCGCGGCAGTCATTACATCGCATCGTCATTTAAAATAAAATAAAAAATGCTTATCGGGCACTAATGCCCGGCGATAACGCCGTAACCCCCCCCCCCCCCCCAACGTAATTACTGGAAACATCATCCCGCCCGGATGATACTGCGAGCGGCTAATGATGATGTTTTATTTACATATACCGCTGCCCATATGGGGCCAGGAGTTACGGTTGGGACCACACACACACACTGCGTCTCTTGCGCTCCACAGCAGAAACGGAGAGATATATAGAGAGAGAGCCTCTGTAGGGTTCGTTAAGGTCCCCCCCCCCCCCCCCACCAAATTAATACGCCTTTAAAAAAATTGGGTATCTCAGCTTTACGCCGGCTCTAATAATACACCAGCAGGGCGCAATGATGCTACAAATGATTCCCCCTTACTCTTGTGATACATTATTTCCAGGTTAACGCAGCCCCCCGAGGTCAGCGAGCGCGCAATTCCTCGGGGGGGGGGGGGGGGGGTCTAGCAATGTCCCTCCCTCTCCTTGTAATGCGATGACCTTCCTTACGTCCAACCCTGCATAACCCTCTAATTAGCAAGAGCCGGTTACCGCAGCTGACCCATCTGCAAGAGCGGCACTGAACTTGACCGGACTCTCCCAAAGGAGTCACCGGCGCGATTCATCAGCGAGGCTTTTCTAGGTAAACACGAATGCCACTTCGCCCCCCTCCCCACACAATGCGGTCGATGTGGCCACTCCCCCCCAATGCGCTCATTATAACAGCGTGATGGTGATGAACACAGTGCACGAGACATTATCACATTGTCCACCAGGTGTTATTCGCCCGCATATAGCAACATTTATTTAGGACGCCGTTACTTAATCACCACGATCGTGCCCAATACTCACCCCCACATCTAGGAAGCCCGGCTATTACTTGCATTGGAATAGTGTTGTGTAGGCGTGGGCTCAGGAGATAGCCAGTAGGTGACGATAGAGAAATGGATTGTTGAATCTATCCGTGCGGCGCTTTGGGCATTATATCTTCGCATGCGTGGTGGGATTTATCTGCACACTGCCGGTTTCCTCCCACGCGCGAATTAAATTCAAACAAAGCAAATGCAGCAGCACTCCTGAAAACTATTCCCGAGTCTCAGTTGGTAGACGGATTATGTCGTTATTGCCATCATGGTCAATCCTGAAATGTCATAATAATTCACCTAGCCACCTGCTCATCGCTCCATACCCACGGTAGGCATGGGTGGTTGAGAGACGCATGCAGTTTCTTGGTTTATTACAAAATCCTATGAACAACACCCTTGCTTCACGCTTAACAACATGTTATTATTAGATGTTGCCAAAACACTACTCTCACTTCCGATGTACGGTGCGAAAGAAGTTCAACGTGCAGTACACACAGCGGGTCTCGCTTAACGTAGGTTTTTTTTTTTACAGCCCGATATCACGGTTTATAATAATAATTGGAGATTGAATGTAGGAATCGTCAATCACGTGTTTTACAAAGTGTCTTTCCTAGGCTATAACCCTCAGCCAGTGGTGGGCGAACCTCGACCAGTGTTGAAAATTCCACATTACCAGGACGAGGGCCCGGTCTCTGTATAAAACAAAGCGCTTCCCATTTTATCTGCGATCTGCTAACGAGATGCACTAACAGCCAAGCAAACTCCTGATCGCGATTATAGCTTCACCACACTTCTCCGAACGTACAATCGAACCCCTTAAATTGTATCCCGTGAAAACCGCATGCTTGAATACAGAGATCCACCCGTGTAGCCTACAGAGAACAGTTGGGGCGGAAGGGGGGCAAGTGCTATTTGCGAGCATCTATTAAATGACCTGGAACGGCGCACGAGAGTTGTGGTGCATGGCCGCCTTTGTCTCCCCAGTGCTGACCGTTTACTAGACCACAACAGGTGGCGGACGTAAGGGTTCAGGTTCACTACTGCACCAGCTCATATCACAGATGTCAGCCGTGGCTGGGAATCAAACTCGGTTGGGGGGGGGGGGGGGGCACGGTGGTCTGTAGCTCAGTGGCGCAGACCAACAACGCGATTGTTGGGTACTCACGCCGTTTTAGGCTGAGTCAACCTAGGGGTGGGTGGGTGGTGGGGTGGGTGGAAGAGGTTCCAGCACAAGTTCTGATATCGCTCGCCTACTTTTGTTAGCCGTGGGCGGGAAGCCAAATTTGGCTGCTTCCAAGGTAGCCGGGTGGAGGGGCAGTGCGCTAACCGTTATGCCACCGCTCCTCCCAATGCGTGTAGATTATAAACAGAGACCCCCCCCCCCCCCCCACGCCCTAACATGCTGGGTGCGACGATTGCTTTGGGTCGGTACTCACGCTGATCGTGCGGGCGGTCCACGGGGCGAGTGTGGCAGCCGGGCAGAGCGAGTAAGGGATCCGTGCCCGTGCAGTCGTTAATTGCGGTCTTGCGTTCATAGGTCGATTTGCTTGGCTTGGGTATCCGCTCGCCTGTTGCCGACTATAATGACGTTTAATTCGCAGCGCCACGGTCGCCTCGTCCCGTGCGGAACCTCGACTCTGGCTGGGTGCTCCTCGTCGCCTCGTGTCGAAGCGATGCACATGATATCATCATCACCAGGCACATGACACGCACATCGCATGCACACATCACCACGCAGCACTGCGAGCTGCCTCGAGCAGCAGCAGCAGCAGCACTCTCGCGCGAGTCGCCCCGCGTTCACTCAGCAGCTCGCAGAACCTCCCCCCCTCCCTCTCACTCCCACCAACCTCTTCCAAACACACACACACTCGCCCCTAGTGCTGCCCCCCACCACCCACACACTCGCCCCTCGTGCTGCCCCCCACCACCACCACCACCACCACCCACACACTTCCCAAGTGCTGCCCCCCCCCCACCCACACACTCCTCAAGTGCTGCCCCCACCACCCACACACTCGCCCCCAGTGCTGCCCCCCCCACCGCCCACACACTCGCCCCTAGTGCTGCCCCCCACCGCCCACCCGCTCCCCTAGTGCTGCCCCCCACCGCCCACCCGCTCCCATAGTGCTGCCCCCCACCGCCCACCCGCTCCCCTAGTGCTGTCCCCCACCGCCCATACTCCCCTAGTGCTGCCCCCCCCGCCCACGCCCCAAGTGCTGCCCCCACCCCACCCACTCCCCAAGTGCTGCCCCCCCCACCACCCACACACTCGCCCCTAGTGCTGCCCCCCCCCCCCCGCCCACTGCCCAAGTGCTGACCCCCCACCGCCCACCCACTCCCCTAGTGCTGCCCCCCCCCCGCCCACTCCCCAAGTGCTGCCCCCCCCACCCACTCCCCAAGTGCTGCCCCCCCACCACCCACACACTCGCCCCTAGTGCTGCCCCCCCACCACCACCCACACACTCGCCCCTAGTGCTGCCCCCCCACCACCACCCACACACTCGCCCCTAGTGCTGCCCCCCCACCACCACCCACACACTCGCCCCTAGTGCTGCCCCCCCACCACCACCCACACACTCGCCCCTAGTGCTGCCCCCCCACCACCACCCACACACTCGCCCCTAGTGCTGCCCACCCACCACCACCCACACACTCGCCCCTAGTGCTGCCCCCCCACCACCCCCCACACACTCGCCCCTAGTGCTGCCCCCCCCCCACCACCCACACACTCGCCACTAGTGCTGCCCCCCCACCACCACCCACACACTCGCCCCTAGTGCTGCCCCCCCACCACCACCCACACACTCGCCCCTAGTGCTGCCCCCCCACCACCACCCACACACTCGCCCCTAGTGCTGCCCCCCCACCACCACCCACACACTCGCCCCTAGTGCTGCCCCCCCACCACCACCCACACACTCGCCCCTAGTGCTGCCCCCCCACCACCACCCACACACTCGCCCCTAGTGCTGCCCCCCCCCCCCACCACCCACACACTCGCCACTAGTGCTGCCCCCCCACCACCACCCACACACTCGCCCCTAGTGCTGCCCCCCCACCACCACCCACACACTCGCCCAGTGCTGCCCCCCCACCCACTCGCCCAGTGCTGCCCCCCCACCCACCCACTCGCTCAGTGCTGCCCCCCACCACCCACCCACTCGCCCAGTGCTGCCCCCCACCACCCACCCACTCGCCCAGTGCTGCCCCCCACCACCCACCCACTCGCCCAGTGCTGCCCCCCACCACCCACCCACTCGCCCAGTGCTGCCCCCCACCACCCACCCACTCGCCCAGTGCTGCCCCCCACCACCCACCCACTCGCCCAGTGCTGCCCCCCACCACCCACCCACTCGCCCAGTGCTGCCCCCCACCACCCACCCACTCGCCCAGTGCTGCCCCCCACCACCCACCCACTCGCCCAGTGCTGCCCCCCACCACCCACCCACTCGCCCAGTGCTGCCCCCCACCACCCACCCACTCGCCCAGTGCTGCCCCCCACCACCCACCCACTCGCCCAGTGCTGCCCCCCACCACCCACCCACTCGCCCAGTGCTGCCCCCCACCACCCACCCACTCGCCCAGTGCTGCCCCCCACCACCCACCCACTCGCCCAGTGCTGCCCCCCACCACCCACCCACTCGCCCAGTGCTGCCCCCCACCACCCACCCACTCGCCCAGTGCTGCCCCCCACCACCCACCCACTCGCCCAGTGCTGCCCCCCACCACCCACCCACTCGCCCAGTGCTGCCCCCCACCACCCACCCACTCGCCCAGTGCTGCCCCCCACCACCCACCCACTCGCCCAGTGCTGCCCCCCACCACCCACCCACTCGCCCAGTGCTGCCCCCCACCACCCACCCACTCGCCCAGTGCTGCCCCCCACCACCCACCCACTCGCCCAGTGCTGCCCCCCACCACCCACCCACTCGCCCAGTGCTGCCCCCCACCACCCACCCACTCGCCCAGTGCTGCCCCCCACCACCCACCCACTCGCCCAGTGCTGCCCCCCACCACCCACCCACTCGCCCAGTGCTGCCCCCCCACCACCCACCCACTCGCCCAGTGCTGCCCCCCACCACCCACCCACTCGCCCAGTGCTGCCCCCCACCACCCACCCACTCGCCCAGTGCTGCCCCCCACCACCCACCCACTCGCCCAGTGCTGCCCCCCACCACCCACCCACTCGCCCAGTGCTGCCCCCCACCACCCACCCACTCGCCCAGTGCTGCCCCCCACCACCCACCCACTCGCCCAGTGCTGCCCCCCACCACCCACCCACTCGCCCAGTGCTGCCCCCCACCACCCACCCACTCGCCCAGTGCTGCCCCCCACCACCCACCCACTCGCCCAGTGCTGCCCCCCACCACCCACCCACTCGCCCAGTGCTGCCCCCCACCACCCACCCACTCGCCCAGTGCTGCCCCCCACCACCCACCCACTCGCCCAGTGCTGCCCCCCACCACCCACCCACTCGCCCAGTGCTGCCCCCCACCACCCACCCACTCGCCCAGTGCTGCCCCCCACCACCCACCCACTCGCCCAGTGCTGCCCCCCACCACCCACCCACTCGCCCAGTGCTGCCCCCCACCACCCACCCACTCGCCCAGTGCTGCCCCCCACCACCCACCCACTCGCCCAGTGCTGCCCCCCACCACCCACCCACTCCCCTAGTGCTGCCCCCCACCACCCACCCACTCCCCTAGTGCTGCCCCCCACCACCCACCCACTCCCCTAGTGCTGCCCCCCACCACCCACCCACTTCCCCAGTGCTGCCCCCCACCACCCACCCACTCCCCCAGTGCTGCCCCCCACCGCCCACACTCCCCTAGTGCTGCCCCCCACCACCCACCCACTCCCCTAGTGCTGCCCCCCACCACCCACCCACTCCCCCAGTGCTGCCCCCCACCGCCCACACTCCCCTAGTGCTGCCCCCCCCCGCCCACTCCCCAAGTGCTGCCCCCCCCACCCCACCCACTCCCCAAGTGCTGCCCCGCCCACTCCCCTAGTGCTGCCCCGCCCACTCCCCTAGTGCTGCCCCCCCCCGCCCACTCCCCAGGTGCTGCCCCCCCCACCCCACCCACTCCCCAAGTGCAGCCCCCCCCACCACCCACACACTCGCCCCTAGTGCTGCCCCCCCACTACCACCCACACACTCGCCCCTAGTGCTGCCCCCCCACCACCACCCACACACTCGCCCCTAGTGCTGCCCCCCACCACCACCCACACACTCGCCCCTAGTGCTGCCCCCCCACCACCACCCACACACTCGCCCCTAGTGCTGCCCCCCCACCACCACCCACACACTCGCCCCTAGTGCTGCCCCCCCCCACCACCCACACACTCGCCCCTAGTGCTGCCCCCCCCCACCACCCACACTCGCCCCTAGTGCTGCCCCCCCACCACCACCCACACACTCGCCCCTAGTGCTGCCCCCCCACCAGCCACACACTCGCCCCTAGTGCTGCCCCCCCACCACCACCCACACACTCGCCCCTAGTGCTGCCCCCCCCCCCCACCACCCACACACTCGCCCCTAGTGCTGCCCCCCCCCCCACCACCCACCCACTCGCCCAGTGCTGCACCCCACCACCCACCCACTCGCCCAGTGCTGCCCCCCACCACCCACTCGCCCAGTGCTGCCCCCCACCACCCACCCACTCGCCCAGTGCTGCCCCCCACCACCCACCCACTCGCCCAGTGCTGCCCCCCACCACCCACCCACTCGCCCAGTGCTGCCCCCCACCACCCACCCACTCGCCCAGTGCTGCCTCCCACCACCCACCCACTCGCCCAGTGCTGCCTCCCACCACCCACCCACTCGCCCAGTGCTGCCCCCCACCACCCACCCACTCGCCCAGTGCTGCCCCCCACCACCCACCCACTCGCCCAGTGCTGCCCCCCACCACCCACCCACTCGCCCAGTGCTGCCCCCCACCACCCACCCACTCGCCCAGTGCTGCCCCCCACCACCCACCCACTCGCCCAGTGCTGCCCCCCACCACCCACCCACTCGCCCAGTGCTGCCCCCCACCAACCACCCACTCGCCTAGTGCTGCCCCCCACCACCCACCCACTCCCCTAGTGCTGCCCCCCACCACCCACCCACTCCCCTAGTGCTGCCCCCCACCACCCACCCACTCGCCCAGTGCTGCCCCCCACCAACCACCCACTCCCCTAGTGCTGCTCCCCACCACCCACCCACTCCCCTAGTGCTGCCCCCCACCACCCACCCACTCCCCTAGTGCTGCCCCCCACACCCACCCACTCCCCTAGTGCTGCCCCCCACCACCCACCCTCTCCCCTAGTGCTGCCCCCCACCACCCACCCACTCCCCTAGTGCTGCCCCCCCCACCCACCCACTCCCCCAGTGCTGCCCCCCACCACCCACCCACTCCCCCAGTGCTGCTCCCCCCACCACCCACACACTCCCCTAGTGCTGCTCCCACCACCCACCCTCCAACGCACTCTCATGCAGTTGCTGCCCACCCACGCGCCACAGGCGCACGCCAAATCTACCACCACCATTCAACGCGCGCAAACGCGCAGTAACGCTGCTGCTACAAACCCAACCACCAACACGCGCACGCCGATGTTTACACACCGCACCACCGATTGCTCAGACATTGCGGGCTGAATCGACCAGGGGTGGTGGTGGTTTGGGCGGCGAGTCCCAGGACAAGTTCCGATATTGCTCGTTGCCGACGTTGACCAAATTCGTCGGATTCGTAGCCAAGTGCGCCAATGAATGCGTCACCGATGGCCTTAACAGACTGTAGGGGCAAGTGCTCTTAGCGAGTAGCGCCGATGAAAGCCGAAACGGTACACGAGGGCGTGGGTGACCAGCACCACGCCCGACCGCCTTTATCTCCCCAGTAGCGATGTTTACACACCGCACCAGGTACTCGTTCGAGGCCGAATCGACCTAGGGGAGACCCGTGACCGGTTCAGATAATCGTCACCGGTGTTGGCCGCGAGCGGGAATTGAACTCAGGTCGCCGGGTTCGTTGCGCAGCGTGGCGCTAACAGCTACCGCTCCCCTGCGGAGCGCGTTCGCAATTCTGCGAACGCGCTCCGCAGTCCCAACACCCACAACAATCCTCACGTGACAGTCACCCACCTACACCTCATCCCGTACACCCCCTCCCACCTCCCCGATGTCTCTTCTCCCGTTGAAACGTGACACGGCGCTACACTCACTATTTATAGCGCGACGTAGCGCTGGGCCAGCAAGCCGCTCGCGTCCCGGTACAATTGAGCGCTTCGTGATCCCTTGTATCTCGGGCGTTGGGCAATTCTGTGTTGCTCCCCCGCACGTTCCTTAACGTCCGTACCATTACGCAGCGCGTTCCTTCTCGTCCGTACCATTACGCAGCGCGTTCCTTCTCGTCCGTACCATTACGCAGCGCGTTCCTTCTCGTCCGTACCATTACGCAGCGCGTTCCTTCTCGTCCGTACCATTACGCAGCGCGTTCCTTCTCGTCCGTACCATTACGCAGCGCGTTCCTTCTCGTCCGTACCATTACGTAGCGCGTTCCTTCTCGTCCGTACCATTACGCAGCGCGTTCCTTCTCGTCCGTACCATTACGCAGCGCGTTCCTTCTTGTCCGTACCATTACGCAGCGCGTTCCTTCTCATCCGTACCATTACGCAGCGCGTTCCTTCTCGTCCGTACCATTACGCAGCGCGTTCCTTCTCGTCCGTACCATTACGCAGCGCGTTCCTTCTCGTCCGTACCATTACGCAGCGCGTTCCTGCTCGTCCGTACCATTACGCAGCGCTTCATTTTCTTTCGTTTGTTCACGCCATTCTTTCAGGAACGCACTTAGAAGTGCGGTCGTGATTATCGGCGTAAGGCACTACCACTGGAGTACGAGGCACGCCGGTGTCACAATGAAACCACGGTATCTGACGGATCTCAAGGAGCATAAACCATCGAATAAAGACGATCAACGCATCGCGCCCTTTCAGGTGCACACATCTGCGGCCGTCTGGAACGCTTTTTCTTCCGATATTAGGAAGCCACTGCAGCTATGCACGTTTAACTCTAGATTGACAAACTCATTTATTTAAAACTGCGTTTTCCGTTTAGTCTCGTTGTCCTCCCCCTGCACCTCCGATTGGCGCTGTTAGCTACGTACGGTGAAAAAGACGTTCAACATACATAATCTAACGATGTACTATTGTACCCCATACTCCCTGTCATCCTACGAACAGGTTATATTACGAATATAAACTACATTCTTTGCCGACGTGGGAAGTGGTGCACAAGCACTATATAAAAAAACTCAACTCATTCGTCAATAAAGGGCCTTAAAATAATTAATATATACTGTATATATAGAACAAGTGACGTTTCAAGCAATGGCCCTTGCCAAGTGGCGTATACCCACATGACTAAATATTCCCACAATGAAATGCGCCAGCGACATTGGAGCATTTTCTTCAAGGGTTTGTTTCTCAACGGATATTAATCGGCAATTGTTAATGCCAGTTGGAAAAAAAACTTGCCGTCAGAAAATATGTTCAAATGTATTTCTCATCAGGCTCCATGGCGTAAACATAGTGCAGTCTCCAACTATCAGTAGCCACTACATCTCTCTTGCCTCTCTGTGCTACGAAGGGCCATGCCCGAAACGTCGACTTAGACACAAGTTCGTATCGCGTGAATGTCATCCCTCGAGTCGAACGGACCGGGCCGTGATGGTCAACGCCTCCGGTTTACGGTGCCCGTGGACGTTGACCCGAGCTGTTATCGGCACACGCAACTCACAAAAAACTTCTGACGCATTACGCACCGCAACAGATGCTGCACTCATTTTAGGCCGAGTAGACCTACGCGGGAGGGCCCTAGGACCCCTTCAAACGTTCGCCACTGTTATTGCTCCTGAGCGAGACGCAAACTTGGGTCTCCCCGGGTTCGCAGCGCACTGCGCCTCACCAAATACACTACCGCTCCATATGAACACCAAAGACAAAGATCCCCCGTATAGCCTGCAACAAGCTGTTGGGGCAAGTGCTATTAGCGAGCACCTTTGTTGGCCGACACGGCACACGAGGGGGTGGGTGGCCAGCACCACGCCCGACCGCCTTTGTCTCCCTAGTGGCAATATTTACACACTGCACCAGGTACTCATTTGAGGCTGAGTCGACCTAGGGGAGGCCCGGGACCGGTTAAGATAATCGTCACTGGTGTTGGCCGTGAGCGGGAATCGAACCTGTATCGCCGGGTTCATAGCACAGCGCGCTCACCGCTACACTACCGCTCCCCACACACAGACACACACACCGTGACACACACAACAACCGCCATTCGCCACTAAGTCGCGGTGACATCACTACGACGCTTGTGCCAGGCGAGGTGCACCTTGAGGCCACGTGAAGTGTCGAACGCCCGCTGGCAGGAGGTCACGGGGCAGACACAGGTGCCACGGGTCGACTGACTGAGATGACTGGCTGATGCACCACCTGTGCCCCATACTATACCAACTTGTGCTTTAGCCACCCGGCGCTCCGCTCGTTGTTGTGAGCGTCGCTCCTCAGCCCTCCGTTGTTGCTGGAGGGCGACTGCCTCCAACTTCCCAATAGCGTCCTTCACGAGCCTCCTCCACAGAGGCCGATCTTGACACCGCTGGTACCAGTCATCGGCAAGTCCACTCAGCTCCACGTCCTCCTGTACCACATCACTCCATCTCTTCTCTAGCCCGTGCCGCGCCCGTTTACATACACACACACACACGGAAACCCCACACCGACACACACACACACACACGCACGCGCGCTCCTACTACTTACCGTGGACAAAAAAAGGTCCTCGAAATTTAAGAAAGCTGGAGTGGGTTCATTTGCACGTTCTCGATCAGCCCGCAGTGATGGTTGTCTCAAAGGCGGGTCCGGTGAATGGCAGATGAGACACTTGGGGTGGGGGGTCGAGTGGTAGAACGGTGAAAGAACAAGCGACTCGACACGCGCGGAGCCATGCTATGCCGTGCCTTTATAGTTGCTCGCGAACAGCACTTGCCCCTAAAGTTCGTTAAGGCTATACGGGGGGAGGGGGATTTGTGTCGTTGCCTTGCGTGTGAATGTACGTCTCTCTCCGTGCGTGTGTGTGTGTGTATGCATCGGTGCAACCGGATTTTCCAGAGAACACGCACTACACTCCCTGCCTCAATTGGCTGCATATTGGGCTTAAGTATGCGAATCAATTATGCATACACAACATCGGTGTCCGCCCGTGCGCTTCCTCCTATTCAGCACATTGCGGAGAAAGTCTCTACACCTCCGGCTCAAGCCCTGCATGTGCTATCAATAAGGGTAATTGTCCGAAACGTCGCATATTCACGTATGTAGTGCCGAGCAGCGGTCTGCTATGCGCGAACTGTAGTCCGGCACGGTGGACGCAGCAGCGAGGGGTTGGTGGATCACACTCAAGCTGACGTGAAACTTTTTTTTTATTTTTCCCCGTGGGCGTCGAGGTGGTGCCATACCCTGGCTCGCCAGAAGAAGGCAGCACAGCGAGTGGACTAATCGCCATCTGTTTCCATCGGCACGGGGATAGTGTGTTGCCCCCTTTTTTCGCGCGTGGGGGTTTTTATTTTTATTTCTCGCGGGTGCTCCGGTTTCTTCCCACTTGCGTAATACACGCTCGTCATTCATTGGCCGAAAACATCTCACGATAAAATGCATTGACCGAAGACAAAAAGAAGAGCTCCTCGATCAAGAAGAAACGAAAACTATTTTCATGTTAAGGCCACGCACGGTGGTATTGACGAATGTGTTGAACTTCGCTACGTGCTGTTAGCTCCGTGGCATCCTGGGGGGGGGGGGGGGGGGTTGCTGGGGGAGGAGGGCCGAAATGCTCACCCTTCTAAAATTGTGGAGGGTCACGTAGGGGAAGAGAGCCAGAGCGGAATGCATCATCGTCAAGAGGCGGCTCGTCGCGTCACTCATTCTGTCTGGCGTCTGGCGTCTCTTTAAAGTTCATTTAATCTTGACGCCGCTGATTTTAATCAGTTGCGCCCCACTTGTCGCGTGGCCACGTGTTTAGCGATCATCAGGCGCGTGCAGCGCCGCGATGACTTAATTTGTATGCGAGAGACGACGATAGCACACGTGGAATGCGTCCGGTGCGGTACTGCGTGAGGCAGCGTTAACCGGAGATTGGGCATCTGCGAAATAATATAATTATTGGGGCACCTTAGTGCGAATAAATTGAAAGTCGTCTCGGAGGAGATGGAGCCATGAGATGATTTGTAAGCTCCAAGACTGGAGGGCATTTTCACGGTTCTGGCAACTGCCTGATGCTGTTGCTGCTGATGCTGCTGCTGCTACTGATGCTGCTGCTGCTACTGCTGATGCTGCTGATGCTGCTGCTGCTACTGCTGCTACTGATGCTGCTGCTGTTTGTAACCAGCAGTTAAACGTCTTGCCACGTTGTTCAATGTTGCGTGGCAGCGCTCTCCCAACACTGCGGTAGCGCCGAAGCAGCACAACATCGGCCGCGTTTGTTCATCGCGTGGCAACTTTATTAGCCGGCTGTGTCGGGTGGAGGAGGCTGTACGACACACACGCGCACGCGCCTTACGTACGCGATGAGAGATGGGTTCGCGCGCGGGGGTGCTAGATCAAGAGGTCTTCGCTACGTTTCAGAGGGTGGGGGAGCGGGGGGAAATTTCGCCGATAAGACTTCATCACTGGGGGTTTGACAGCAGACTGATGATGATCGGGGCGGGGGGGGGGGGAATTTCCACTCTTTGTGAATTGTCGGGAGCCGCACCAAAGGCCACCAGGGCCCGCCAATGGACCACGGGGCCTAGCAATTTTTTTTCATTTTCATTTATTAGGTAATAGCCCTGTCAGCCATGCGGCTCTTGACTCGGGTGCAACCGCAACAAACAAAAACACGAACAAGAAAACATCTTAAAGTGACTACGCGCAACAGAAAAATTTCAGGAAAAAACAGCAGAAAAAGCACTGTATATCAACGCTGTGTGCAAAAATCCCAATGAAGAACGCTGCGCTCGATCACTGTTACATTTGCAGGATCGTGAGCAATGACGACGGCTTGGTGTTCGGAAAGGGGGGGGGGGGTGGATGTCATCATCCAGCAGCAGATTGAACATGGCCGATGGTTGACAGTGATCGCACGACGGAGCGACGACAATCGTGGGAGACGCGATGAGTATGGACCACAAACTCCCGTGCGTGACTGCAGCGTTAACAAGTTTACGGATAATTAAATTCATTCAACAGCAAACCCGTCGCGAGAAATGTTCGTCATCTGAGACGCGAGGGCAGTGATATCCCCGTCGAGTTCCATCATCGCGGCCGCGTTTTTAGCATTCGCTTAATAAATCTAATTAAGGTGAAAGAACAAACCGTGGAGGCTCCGCAGACACAGATCCCGCAAGACTGTTGGGGCGACTGCTGTGGGCGAGGAGCACGAGGGGAGCGGTGTGGCCGCTAACCACGCCCGGCCGCCTTTGTCTCCCTAGTGGCGATGTTTGCACACCGCTCAAGGAATGCATTTGAGGCTGCATCGGTACATTTCTCACATTAACATAGCCACTTCCGTGCCCTCGTCGTGGAGGCCGCTCTCCCATCTTACAGTTACTTGCTAATTTCTCACATTAACATCACGCTAATTTCTCACATTAACATCACGCTAATTTCTCACATTAACATCACGCTAATTGCTCACATTAACATCACGCTAATTGCTCACATTAACATCACGCTAATTTCTCACATTAACATCACGCTAATTTCTCACATTAACATCACGCTAATTTCTCACATTAACATCACGCTAATTTCTCACATTAACATCACGCTAATTTCTCACATTAACATCACGCTAATTTCTCACATTAACATCACGCTAATTTCTCACATTAACATCACGCTAATTTCTCACATTAACATCACGCTAATTGCTCACATTAACATCACGCTAATTGCTCACATTAACATCACGCTAATTGCTCACATTAACATCACGCTAATTTCTCACATTAACATCACGCTAATTTCTCACATTAACATCACGCTAATTTCTCACATTAACATCACGCTAATTGCTCACATTAACATCACGCTAATTTCTCACATTAACATCACGCTAATTTCTCACATTAATATCACGCTAATTTATCACTTTAACATCACGCTAATTTCTCACATTAACATCACGCTAATTGCTCACATTAACATCACGCTAATTTCTCACATTAACATCACGCTAATTGCTCACATTAACATCACGCTAATTGCTCACATTAACATCACGCTAATTTCTCACATTAACATCACGCTAATTTCTCACATTAACATCATGCTAATTTCTCACAATTAATATCACGCTAATTTCTCACATTAACATCACGCTAATTTCTCACATTAACATCACGCTAATTGCTCACATTAACATCACGCTAATTTCTCACATTAACATCACGCTAATTTCTCACATTAACATCATGCTAATTTCTCACAATTAATATCACGCTAATTGCTCACATTAACATCACGCTAATTGCTCACATTAACATCACGCTAATTTCTCACATTAACATCACGCTAATTTCTCACATTAACATCACGCTAATTTCTCACATTAACATCACGCTAATTGCTCACATTAACATCACGCTAATTGCTCACATTAACATCACGCTAATTTCTCACATTAACATCACGCTAATTGCTCACATTAACATCACGCTAATTGCTCACATTAACATCACGCTAATTGCTCACATTAACATCACGCTAATTTCTCACATTAACATCACGCTAATTGCTCACATTAACATCACGCTAATTTCTCACATTAACATCATGCTAATTTCTCACATTAACATCATGATAATTCCTTACATTAACATCATGCTAATCTCTCACATTAACATCATGCTAATTTCTCACATTAACATCACTAGACCCGGCCACTTCTTTATGACCCTTGAGCTACACCCATTTCAAACCTTTTAAAACAGTCTGCCTCAGCAGCAGACCACGCTTTCCCACCTGATGACGGACGCTTGTGTTGCGCCCGAAACGTCGTGATTTATTTTATTTTCTACCTACGCGACTTTACCGAAAGAACCAAAGAGTATGGATTCCTGCAGTCACGAAAGCTTCGAATCGAGATTAAACCACCACCACATAGGCACTTCTGGGCGGAGCGGTGGTGCAAGTGGTTAGCGCACTGCACTATGTACCTCGCGTCCACCGTTTGATTCCGACCACGGCTATCATCAGGGGTGACAATTTCCGCCTCCCCCCCCCCTTCACCAACTCCCACTGAACCCTGATGTTGAACTATGCTCAAACACATGACCGACAGGGCGTGGGTATGGCTTTGATGTATTGGTGGATTTGAGAATGGCCGGAATAGATTTTTTTTTTAGTTATTGAAAAATAACGTATAAAATATATATCTGCAGCATTTTAGTCAATCCACGCTGTGTCTTTCAATGGCGATTTGTCAACCATACTTCACCGCAATGGTCAGTACGGGTTGGTGAAAGGTGAAGGTGTGTGTTTGTGGGCACGGCCCGTTACAGATGTTAATCGCCACTGGCGTGTGACATCCGTGGTCGGGAATCACCACCAGAGTCAACGAGTTCATACTGCAACGCGCTAACCACTGCGTCACTGCTCTCCCATTCGTCTCTAGCGCTGCCTTAAAACATTAAAATATACAGGGTAACGGCGCTTATAGAGCACCCGCAGACTTTCAATGGGGCCCCTCTTACTTTCTTCTCAAATCGCAATGTAACATTGTAAATGAAGCGATGGCTCCCTATCTTGCAGAGGGGGATTGAGCTAAATACTTAATGCGTTTCGAGATTACGCCTAGATTCTCTTAAATAAAAAAAACCGTAGCTTTCCGCGATCACGCCTCTGCGTTATTTTGGACG